AACTGTGGTACATATACACAAAGGAATACTATGCTGCGGTAAAAAAAATAAAAAATAAAGGAACTCTTGCCTTTTGCAACAGCATGGATGGAACTGGAGAGCATTATGCTAAGTGAAATAAGCCAGTCAGAGAAAGATAAATACCACATGATCTCACTCATTTGTGGATTATAGAGAACAACATAGACTGATGAAAAGGGACAGACCCAAAGACTGAGAAACAGCGATCAGGCTATCAATCCCCAGAAGGAAAGTAGGGGAGGGTGGGGGTAAGGGGAAGAGATCAAACGAAGGACTTGTATACATGTATATAAGCCAAACCAATGGATATGGACAACAGGGGGATGGGAGCATGAGTGTGTGGGGCGGTGGGGGGAGCGGGAGGTTGGGGGTTAATGGGGGGGATGAGGACACATTTGTAATAACTTAACTAATAATAAAAAAAGAGGACATTCAGAAAGCCAAAAGACATGAAAACATGCTCAAAGTCGCTAATCATCTGAGAGATGCAAATCAAAACAACAATGAGGTACCATCTCACACCTGACGGAATGGCTATCATCAACAATTCAACAAACGACAAGTGCTGGAGAGGATGTGGAGAAAAAGGAACACTTGTGCACTGCTGGTGGGAATGCAGACTGGTGCAGCCACTATGGAAGACAGTATGGATTTTCCTCAAAAAACTGAAAATGGAACTCCCATTTGACCCTCTGATCCCACTTCTAGGAATATATCCCAAGAAACCAGAAACACCAGTCAGAAAGGATATATGCATCCCTATGTTCATAGCAGCACAATTCACCATAGCTAAGATCTGGAAACAGCCTAAGTGCCCATCTGTAGATGAATGGATTAGAAAACTGTGGTACATCTACACGATGGAATGCTATGCTGCTGTAAAAAAGAAGGAACTCTTACCATTTGCAATGGCATGGATGGAACTGGAGAGCATTATGCTAAGTGAAAGAAGCCAGTCAATGAAGGAAAAATACCACATGATCTCACTCATGTGTGGATAATAAAGACCATTATAAACTTATGAACAAAAATAGATACAGAGGCAGAGCTGCCTCGAACAAACTGTCAAACTACAGCAGGAAGGCCGGGGAGGGTGGGAGGGCAGGAGAGGGGTGGGTAAGAGATCAACCAAAGGACTTGTATGCATGCATATAAGCATAACCAATGGACATAAGACACTGGGGGATAGGGGAGGCCAGGGGATTGTCAAGGGCGGGGGGGGGAAACGAGACATATGTAATACTCTTTGTAATACTTTAAGAAAAAAAAAAAATTAAGCTACCTAGGAATAAAGTTAACTAAAGAGGTAAAAGACCTCTACTCAGAAAACTATAGGACGTTGAAAAAAGAGATAGAGGAAGACATAAACAGATGGAAGAACATACCATGTTCTTGGATTGGTAGAATCAACATCATTAAAATGTCCATACTGCCCAAAGCAATGTATAAATTCAACGCACTTCCCATTAAAATACCAATGGCATATTTCACAGACCTAGAACGAACTCTCCAAAAATTCATCTGGAATAAAAAAAGACCCCGAATAGCTGCAGCAATCCTGAGAAAGAACAAATTAGGTGGGATCTCAATACCAGATATAAAGCTGTATTACAAAGCCACTGTTCTCAAAACTGCCTGGTACTGGCACAGAACAGACATATAGATCAATGGAATAGAATAGAGAGCCCAGAAATCTGCCCCAACCAATACGCTCAATTAATATTTGACAAAGGAGACAAGAACATACAATGGAGCTAGGATAGTCTCTTCAATAAATGGTGTTGGGAAAATGGACAGATATATGCAAGAAAATGAAACTAGACCACCAACTTACACCATACACAAAAATAAACTCAAAATGGATAGAGGACTTAAATGTACGACAGGAAAACATAAAAATTCTAGAAGAATCCAAAGGCAACAAAATCTCAGACATATGCCGAAGCAATTTCTTCACTGATACAGCTCCTAGGGCACTTGAAACTAAAGAGAAAATGAACAAATGGGACTACTTCAAAATAAAAAGCTTTTGCACAGCAAAAGAAACCATCAACGAAACAACAAGAAAACCCACTGCGTGGGAAAACGTATTTGCCAATGTCATATCTGATAAGGGCCTAATCTCCAAAATTTATAGGGAACTCATACAACTTAACAAAAGGAAGATAAACAATCCAATCAAAAAATGGGCAAAGGACCTAAATAGACACCTTTCAAAAGAGGACATTCAGAAAGCCAAGAGACATATGAAAACATGCTCAAAGTACTAATCATCCGAGAGATGCAAATCAAAACAACAATGAGGTACCATCTCACACCTGTCGGACTGGCTATCATCAACAAATCAACAAATGACAAGTGCTGGAGAGGATGTGGAGAAAAAGGAACACTTGTGCAGTGCTGGTGGGAATGCAGACTGGTGCAGCCACTATGGAAGACAGTATGGAGTTTCCTCAAAAAACTACAAATGGAACTCCCATTTGTCCTGTGATCCCACTTCTAGGAATATATCCCAAGAAACCAGAAACACTAGTCAGAAAGGATATATGCACCCCTTTGTTCATAGCAGCACAATTCACCATAGCTAAGATCTGGAAACAGCCTAAGTGCCCATCGGTAGGTGAATGGATTAGAAAACTGTGGTACATCTACACGATGGAATACTATGCTGCTGTAAAAAAGAAGGAACTCTTACCATTTGCAACGGCATGGATGGAACTGGAGAGCATTATGCTAAGTGAAAGAAGCCAGTCAATGAAGGAAAAATACCACATGATCTCACTCATGTATGGATAATAAAGACCATTATAAACTTATGAACAAAAATAGATACAGAGGCAGAGCTGCCTCGAACAGACTGTCAAACTACAGCAGGAAGGCCGGGGAGGGTGGGAGGGCAGGAGGGGGGTGGGTAAGAGATCAATCAAAGGACTTGTATGCATGCATATAAGCATAACCAATGGACATAAGACACGGGGGTTAGGGGAGGCCAGGGGATTGTCAAGGGTGGGGCGAACAAAGGAGACATATGTAATACTCTTTGTAATACTTTAAGCAATAAAAAATAATCATAATAATAACAATAATAATAATAATGTAAATAAATAAATAAGAAATATCAGCCTTGCCCTGACCGGTTTGGCTCAGTGGATAGAACATCTGCCTGCGGACTTGAGGGTCCCAGGTTTGATTCCAATCAAGGTCATATACCTTGGTTGCGGGCACATCCCCAGTGGGTGGTGTGCAGGAGGCAGCTGATTGATGTTTCTAACTCTCCCTCTCCCTCTGTGTTAAAAAAAAAAATCCATAAAATAAATTTTTTGTAAAAAACTTCTGGGATGCAGCAAAAGCAATAATGAGAGGGAAGTTTATATCATTACAGGCCTATCTCAAGTAAACAACCTACATCACATCTTAAAGAAATAGAGAAAGAAGAACAAAAGCAACCCAAAGTAAGCAGAAGAGAGGAACTAATAAAAGTTAGAACAGAATTGAATGAAATAGAGAACAAAAAGACTATATAAAAAATTGATAAAACATGAGCTGATTCTGTGAAAAGATTAATAAAATTGACAAACCCCTGGCTAGACTCACTAAGGAAAACAGGGTAAACACCCATATAAACAAAATCAGACGTCACAGATATGCAGAGGACAATACTAGACTATTATAAAAGACTATATGCCACCAAATTCAATAATCTAGAAGAAATGGATAAGTTCCTAGAAATATGTAACTTTCCTAGACTAAATCATAAAGAATTGGGAAATATAAACAAACCAATCAGCAGTGAGGACATTGAAACAACCATCAAAAACCTCCAAAAAAATAAAAGTCCAGGATCAGATGGCCTCACCAGTGAATTCTAGCAAACATTCAAAGAAGATTTAAAACCTATCCTTCTCAAACTCTTTCAAAATCTGAAGAAAAGGTAATACTCCCTAACACATTCTATGAGGCCAATATAACCATTATATCAATACCTGGCAACAATGACACACAAAAAGAAAAGTACAGACCAATATCTCTGATTAATACAGATGCAAAAATCCTAAACAAAATACTAGCAAATCAAATACAACAGTACATCAAAAAAATAATACATCATGATCAAGTGGGGTTCATTCCAGGGACACAAGGATGGTTCAACATATGCAAATCAATCAATATAGTACACCACACTATGCAAAAGAAAGGATATATGCACCCCCTATGTTCATAGCGGCACAACTTACCATAGCTAAGATTTGGAAACAGCCTAAGTGCCCATCAGTAGATGAGTGGATTAAAAAACTGTGGTACATCTACACAAGGGAATACTACGCTGCGGTAAAAAAAAAAAAGATGGAATTCTTACCATTTGCAACAACATGGATGGAACTGGAGAGCATTATGCTAAGTGAAATAAGCCACTCAGAGAAAGATAAATATCAGATGATCTCGCTCATCTGTGGAATATAATGAACATAAACTGATGAACTAAAACAGATCCAGAGAAAGAGAAGCAATGATCAGACCATCAAACCTCAGAGGAAGATAGGGGAAGGTAGGGGAAGGGGGAGAGATCAACCAAAAGACTTGTATGCATGCATATGAGCAGAGTCATGGTTACATGTTTTAAAAAAAACCACATCAATGATTTAATGGTGGTCTGAACCAGTTCTAACTGAGTGTCACATTACAGTATCTCAAATCCTCAAGATAAATACTATCTTGGAAACTACCCAAGTTGTGACATCTTTCTGTGAATACTGATGAAGGGGAAACCCAGTTAGCAAAGATTCATTGGCATATAACCCACCAAACTCTGGATTTCCCACAGTTCTCACACAATCCACCTCAGACCTACACTGTCTACAATTCCTCAGAGTTTTTAGTGGAAATAATGACGTTGCAGCGTGATTTAGAAGGAGAGCAGGGGCTGCAGGAACCCTGGTAGAGAGAATAAAAAAGTCACAGATAGATGTAGATAGAGATCTCTGGGATTCATAAAACCAACTGAAAGGGCACCTTGTAAAGTGCCTGGTCCAAAGAAAGGCTCCATCCATGATTCTCACTGTTATTGTATTGTCACCATCACTGTTGTTGCCACGAGATAAGTGGGTTATTCCTTGGCCCCTCTGTTCTCTGCTGGCTTCCTCCCATGTCACAGTGAATAGGCTGGGAAGGTGAAACAGAGGAGGCAGACACTTTCAGACCTGGTAAAGCTCATGGTTAGTGGAGGGACTCCCTCCCCTTAAGTGTATGTGCAGTACTTCCGTATGAGTGGTCCATGCATTTGCGTATGTTAGCCCTCCTCTCTTAATTTGGCAGGTGTCTGTGTGGGTTGGTATATATGTTGGCAGGTTTCCTTAACGTGTCCTGCCCACGCACCTGTCAGGAGTCCCACCTGTGGAGACTCACCTCCCATTTACACAGCACAGCTGCTGGAAACACAAATCCAGAGGACCTACATTCCTGCTTCCTAAGCTCTTAAATTAGCTTGGCACTTCATTCCTAATTCTCAACCTACAAGCAAGGAATTCCTGACTAAAATAGAAAGCCCTCAATAAATAGTACAACTGACTATGAAACAAAATCACAAAGAGTATTACTAGAGGAATTCATGTCTGTGTAATTAAATTGTCTACATAGAAATCCATGGAAGCTACTGTCGAGCCAGAGGCATGGCTGATAGATTCAGTCAGTCACAAAACAGTATGCCCTTTTTAGATTCAGACAGTTTAATACTTACATAGACAATGAAAGTAAGTCTAGTCCCAGGTGCCAGCTGCCTCTGTTCCTTGCACAGGGCGACGTCAAAAGGGGCCAGGTGACTGCAGCAAGGATGATAGGACCCTGTTGCTGAGGAGAGAATGCCATCTGTGTCTGAGCACTTTTGTAGCCTGAAGCTCAACCCCATGGGTGTGAGGTAGAAGCCTCAGACCCATCATCACTGGGAGACGACAAGGAGAAAGGCTCTTAGGACAGATTCCCTGAAGGATAGAGAAGCAGTGAGAACAGCGTTGTGGCAGCTCTTCCTAAGCCTCCCAGGCTCTCCTGTCCCGGGAGGATTAGAGTGTCCTGTCAAAGTTAAGATTAGCTGCACCCAATCCTGGCTTATATGTTTACACATGCTGACACATGAAAGTACCAGGAAACTGAAACCAACTCCCCAAATCTCCTTTTAAAAAATTCCTGGAAGTAATCATTGAAATATTTGTCAATGATACTTCTGATAAGGAGTCAATTTCCAAAATATATAAAGAACTTATGCAACACAACAACGGGAAGACAAACAACCCAATTAAAAACTGGGCAAAGATGGACAACAGGGGGATGGGAGCATGAGTGTGTGGGGGGGGGGGAGGTTGGGGGTTAATGGGGGGGATGAGGACACATTTGTAATACCTTAACTAATAATAAAAAAAAAAAACTGGGCAAAGGACCTGGTAGACACTTCTCCAAAGAGGACATACAGATGGCCAAAAGACATATGAAAAAATGCTCAACATCAATAATCATCAGATGCAAATTAAAACCAAATGGAGTTATCACCTCCCACCTTTTGGAATGACTATCATCAATAAAACAACAAATAAGTGCTGGTGAGAATTCGGAGAACAGGGAACCTTGTGCAGTGTTGGTGGGAATGCAGACTGGTGCAGCCACTGTGGAAAGCAGTATGGAATTTCCTCAAAAAAGTAAACATGAACTGCCTTTTGACCCAGCAATCCCACTCCTGGAAAATATTTGAAGAGACACTAATTTGAAAGAATATCAACACTCTTATGTTCATTGCAGCATTATTTACAATAGTCAAGATCAGGAAACACCCCAAGTGTCCATCAGTAGATGAGTGGATAAAAAACTGTGGTACATTTACACCATGGAATACTACTCAGCCATTAAAAAACACACACACAAGGAAATCTTACCTTTTGTGACAGCATGGATGGACCTGGAGATTATTTTGCTAAGTGAAATAAGCCAATCAGAGAAAGACAAGTACCATATGATCTCATTTATATGTGAAATCTAATGAACAAAATTAACTGACAAACAAATAAAGACAGACTCAGTACAACAAACAGACTGAAAAAGGTGGCGGGATTAAGAAAAACACACACAAACACACATACACACACACCTATATTGTATTGTGTTCACCACCCCAAGTCACATCTTCTTCCATCACCATTTATCTTCCCTTTATCCTCTTCTCACCTCCACCCACCCATCACCATACTGTCTGTGTCTATGAGTTTGGGGGCAGTTTTTATGCTTAATCCCTTGACCTTTTCACCCAGCCTCCCAAACCCCTCTCCTCTGACAGCTCTCATTCTGTTTTCTGTATCTATGGGTCTGTTTCTATTTTGTTAGTTAGTTTGTTTTGTTCACTAGATTCCACATAGAAGTGAAATCCTATGGTACTTGTCTCTTCTCTAGCTGGCTTATTTCACTTAGCATAATAATCTCCATATTTATCCATGCTGTCACAAAAGATAAGATTTGCTTCTTTTTTACAGCTGAGTAGTATTCCATTGTGTAAATGTACCACAGCTTGCCCTGGACCATGTTGCTAAGTGGTTAGAGTGTCACCCCGAGCACCAAGGGGTCCCGGGTTGGATTCCTGGTCAGGCATACATACCTGAGTTTCAGATTTGACCTCTTGCCCCGGTCAGGAAGCAACCAATCCATATGTCTCTCTCACATCAGTGTTTTTCTCTCTCTTTTATTCTCTCTAAAAATCAATGGAAAAAATATCCTCAGGTGAGTATTAACAAAATAGAAAGCCCTTTATAAAAAATAAATATACCCACAGCTTTTAATCCAATCATCTACTTAGAGCAGTGGTTCTCAAAGTGGGTCGCGACCCCTTTGGGGGTCAAACAACACTTTCACAGGGGTCGCCTAAATACATCCTGCATATCAGATATTTACATTACAATTCATAACAGTAACAAAATTACAGTTATGAAGTAGCAACGAAAATAATTCTATGGTTGAGGGTCACCACAACATGAGGAACTGTATTAAAGGGTCGCAGCATTAGGAAGGTTGAGAACCACTAACTTAGAGGCACTTGGGTTGTTTCCAAAATCTTGGCTATCCTATATAATAAAAGCTCAGCAACCAAACAGTGGAACGACCAGAACAACCAGTCACTATGTTGCTCACTGACCACCCGGAGGCAGACGCTCAATGCACTGGTGGTCAGTGCTCTCCCACAGTGGGAGCATCGCTCAGCTGACTGCAGCAGGTGCAGCCACTAGACTGACCCCACCAGTGCACGAATCCCATGCACCAGGCCTCTAGTTGTAAATAATGCTGCAATGAACACAGGGGTCCTTACCATATTTTCCCGTGTATTAGACAATCCCATGTGTAAGACACCTCCCACTTTTCCAACCCCAAATTAAGAAATCAATAGCTTAAACATTTTGCTGGTTTTCCTCTTAAGGCCTTCTCTTTTTTTGGCATCTTAAGGAGTTATTCTTCCTGTTTTCTCCACTCCCTGATCATACACTCAATGGGAGGAGGTCCAAACTGTCTCTCTCTCTCTCTCTGCAGCTCTACCAGTATGTCTATGCTCTTTGGCATAGCTGATTACATACAGTTTGAAATTTTCAGAGTCAACAATCACTTACCGGTATTTATCTTTTTATTTTTTGACATCTTCATGGGCTCAGAACGCTTCAATCCCTATTACATCTGCGCACGCTCCATCTCCATATCCAATTATAGCATCAACTGACGTCAGTAACAATAAGGCTCATGATTGGAGGAAGCCTGTTTGACAAGGTATAGGCAGCTACACACCGCAGGGCTCTCTCCTCCGCTGACTTCCAGACACCCCTCGATTTTCAGTCTAATGATTTTAGAAAAAAAATAGTGTTATGCTATACCTTAAATATGGTATATTCTTTCAAATTAGTATTTTGGGTTTCTTCATATATATTCCCAGAAATGGAATCCCTGGGTCATAAAAGCAGTTCCTTCTTTATTATTTTATTTGTTGGTTTTAGAGAAAGAGGGAGAGAGAGAGAGAGAGAAACTTTGATCTGTTGTTCCACCCATCCATGCATTCACTGGTTCATTCATGTATATGCCCCGACCAAGGATCAAATCTGCAGCACTGGAGTATCAGGATGATGTTCCAACTGACTAAGCTACCCCAGCAGGGCTCCATTTTTAATTTTTTGAGGTAACTCCATACTGCTTTCACAGTAGCTGCACCAATCCGCACTCCCACCAACAGTACACAAAGGCTCCCTTTTCTCCACATCCTAACCAAAACTTGTTATTTGGTAATTTATTGTTGATAGCCATTCTGACAAGTGTGAGGTGAGATCTCATTGTGGTTTTACTTTGCATTTCTCTGATGATTAGCGACATTGAGCATCTTTTCATATGTCTATTGGCCATCTGTATGTGTTCTTTGGGGAAGTGTCTATTCAGGTTCTTTGCCCATTTTATAGTTAGATTGTTTGTTTTGGTATTATATTGCATGAGTTCTTTATAAATTTAGGCTATTAATTCCTTATCAGATGTATCATTGGCTAATATGTTCTCCCATTCAGTGGGTTGTCTTTCATTTTGTTGATGGTTTCTTTTGCTGTGCAAAAACATTTTAGTTTGATGTAGTTCCATTTGTTTATTTTTTTCTTTGTCTTTACTATATTTGTGTTGATTTCAGAGAGGAAGGGAGAGGGAGAAAGAGGTAGAAACATCAATGATGAGAGAAAATCATTAATCGACTGCCTCTTGCACACCCCTACTGGTGATTGAGCCCACAACCTGGGCATGTGTCCTGACTGGGAATTGAACTGTGACCTCCTGGTTCATAGATCAATACTCAACCACTGAGCACACGGGCCTAGCTGTCTATTTTTTATTTTGTTTTTCTTGCCTGGGAGGTATATTAGAAAAAATAGTACTATGAGAAATGTTCAAGATATGCATATGTTTTCTTCTAGAATTTTCATGGTTTTGAGTCTAACATTTAAGTCTTTAATCCATTTTGAGTTTATTTTTTATATGGTGTAAGAAGGTGGTCTGGTTTCTTTTTCTTTCCCTTTCTTTTTTTCTTTTCTCTTCTTTTTTCTCTTTCTTTCTTTCTTTTTTTTTTTGCATATATCTGTCCAATTTTCCCACCATCATTTATTGAATAAACTATCTTTATGCTATTGTATGTTCCTGTCTCCTTTGTCAAATATTAATTGATCATAATGGTGTGGGTTCCTTTGTTGGCTCTCTATTCTCTTCCATTGATCTATATTTCTGGGGGGTTTTGCCAATACCATGCTGTTTTGATTACTATGGCCTTGTACTAGTATAGTTTGATGTCAGGTAGCATGATTTGTTTTTCTTTGTGAAGATTGCTGTAGGTATTCAGGATCGTTTGTGGTTCCACGTACATTTTTTAAAAATACCTTTTTTATCTATTTTAGAGAGAGAAACAGGGAGAGGGAGAGAAACATCGATCGGCTGCCTCTGATATGTGTACCCCGACCAATCCAGGACCAAACTCCAAACCTAGGCATATGCCCTGACCAGGAATCAAAACAGCAACCTTTTGGTGCAGGGGATGACACTCAACCAACTGAATCCCACAGGCCAGGGCCCATATACATTTTTTTGAAGTATTGGTTCTAGTTCTGTGAAATATGCCATTGATATCTTGATAGGAATTGCATTGAATCCATAGATTGCTTTGTAGAGTATGAACATTTTAATGATGTTAATTCTCCCTATCCATGAACACAGTATATGCTCCCACTTATTTGTATCTCCTTCAGTTTCTTTCTTCAGTGTCTCATAATTTTCCAAGTGCATGCCTTTTACATCCTTGGATAATTTATTCCTAGGTTTTTTATATAAATGTAAATGGAATTGTTTTTAGTTCTGCTTTCTAATAGTTTATTATTGGTATATATAAATGCAACTGATTTCTGGATATTTATTTTGTATCCTGCTACTTTACTGAATTCATTTACCAGTTCTAGTAGTTTTTTGGTGGAATTTTAGGATTCTCTGTGTACAGTATCATATCATCTGCAAAAAAAAAAATGACAGTTTTAGTTCTTTCTTTCCAATTTGGATGCCTTTATTTCTCCTTGTTGTCTGATTGCTGTGTCTAGAACTTTGAGCACTATGATGAATAAGCGGTGAAAGTGAATATCCCTACCTTGTTCCTGATCTGAAGGAAAATGGTTTTAGCTTTTGCCCATTGAGTATGATGTTGGCTGTAAGTTTGTCATATGTGGCCTTTATTGAGTTGATGTATATTCCCTATATTCCCACTTTGCTGGGCGTTTTTTAATCACAAATTGGCACTGAATTGTATCACATGTTCCTTCTGCATCTATTGATATGATCATGTGATTTTTATCCTTCATTTTGTTTATGCGATGTATCACATTTATTGATTTGTAAATATTGTACCAACCTTTCATCCCTGGAATAAATTCCACTTGATCATGGTGTATGATCTTTTTTAAAAAATATATTTTATTGATTTTTTACAGAGAGGAAGGGAGAGAGATAGAGAATCAGAAACATCGATCAGCTGCCTCCTGCACATCCCCTACTGGGGGTATGCCCGCAACCAAGGTACATACCCTTGACTGGAATCGAACCTGGGACCCTTGAGTCTGCAGGCCAACACTCTATCCACTGAGCCAAACCGGTTAGGGCAGTGTATGATCTTTTTAATGTACTGCTGGATCTGGTTTGTTAATATTTTATTGAGGATTTAGCATCAATGTTCATCAGAGATATGCGCCTATAATTTCCCTTCTTTGTATTGTCTTTATCTGGTTTTGGAATTAGGATAATGCCAGCCTCATAAAATAAGCTTGGAAGTCTTCCCCACTCTTGAATAATTTGAGGATAGGTGTTAGTTCTTCTTTCAATGTGTGGTAAAATTCACCTGTGAAGAACTTTTTGTTTGTTGGGAGTTTTTTTTTATTACTGCTTCAATTTCACTAATAGTAATCTGTCTATTCCTATTTTCTAGGGGTTTTTCTGATTCAGTTTTGAAAGATTGTATGTTTCTAGGGATGTATCCATTTCATTCAGATTGTCCAATTTGTTGGCATATAATTACTCACAATATTTTCTTACAATCCTTTGATGTCAGTTGTTACTTCTTCTCTTTCATTTCTGATTTTATTTATTTGGATCTTCTCTTTTAGTCTTAATGAGTCTGGTTAAATTTTTCTGATTTTTATTAATTCCTTTCTTCAACTCACTTTGGGCTTTGCTTATTGTTCTAGTTCCTTTAAGTGTAAAGTTAGATTCTTTATTTGAGATTTTTCTTATTTCTTGAGATAGGCTTGTAATGCTATGAATTTCCCTCTTAGGACTGCTTTCACTGTGCCCCATACATTTTGGCTTATTGTGTTCTATTTTCATTTATTTCAAGGGATCTTTTGATTTCTCCCTTGATCTCATTTTTAATTCAATCATTGTTTCATAAGGTGTTATTTAGCCTCCATATGTTTGTGTTTTTTTAGTTTTATTCTTGCCATTGATTTCTAGTTGCATACCATTACAGTAAGAAAAGATGCTTGATATAATTTCAGTCTTCTTAAATTTATTTAGACTTGCTTTGTGTCCTAACATGTGGTCTATCCTAGAAAATGTTCCATGTGCACTTGAAAAGAATGTATGTTCTGCTGCTTTGGGGTGAAGTGTTCTGAAGATACCAATTAAATCCATCTGATTTAGTGTATCATTTAAAGCTGCTGTTTTCTTGCTGATTTTTTATCTGGAAGATCTATACATTGATGTCCTTGAGGTGTTAAAACCCCCTACTATGACTGTATTACGGTTGTTCTCTCCCTTTATTCCATCAAGATTTGCTTTAGCGGGCACATCCCCAGTGGGGAGTGTGCAGGAGGCAGCTGATGGATGTTTCTCTCTCATCGATGTTTCTAACTCTCTATCCCTCTCCCTTCCTCTCTGTAAAAAATCAATAAAATATATTTTTTAAAAAAAAAAAGATTTGCTTTATATATTTAGGTGCTCCTATGTTGGGTGCAAAAATGTTTACAAGGTTTAGATCTTCCTGTTGGATTATTCCCTTTATCATTAAGTAGTCTCATTTTTTTAAAAAAAAAAAATTTTATTGATTTTAGAGAGAGAGGTAGCGAGAGGGAGGCCCTGTGAAGGGAGGGCTCTGCACTAGTCAAGCATGTGAGGAAAAAATGGCTCCTGTCCTAGAACCGCACAACTCAGTGTGTCCCAGATTATCCCAGAATCCCAATTTCAGCAGGGCAGAACCACCTGGGGTTAGGAGGAGGTGGCTAGTGGAACTCCCATGAAGGAGAATTGCCCATCAGGCTTTGGGGAAGGTGAAGGGACTTGCCCCTGCCCCAAAGCTGCACAACTCAGTCTGACCTGGATTCTACCAGAACTCAGCAAGGTGGAGCCACCAGGAGTCAGGAGAGTGGTGCTGATGGGAGCCCTGAAAGTGGGACTCATGGATCTCCTATGAGGGGCAGGTGCCAATCAGGTTCATAGGAAAGTGGGGGGAATTGTCCCTGCCTCAAAGCCACACAACTCAGTCACTAACACCCCCTGAGTCTTCCCAGACCACTATGCCCTAGCCCAGGCAGCTGACTCTTCAGCAAGGTGTAAATTCCACAGGGTGGGGCAAGAGGGAGCCCAGACGGTAGGGCTATAGCTTTTCCCAACTGATGCTATATGGAAAGGAGTGCTCCATCCAAGAGAGATGGCATCTGTGGTGTGGGAGAGTGACTCAACACAGGGGTCCTATGGGCTGTCCTTTCAACTCTCTCCCCAGAACTACAGACCCCAGTCTCTCCTCACACAACTCTACTCCTCTCTGTCCTCCCTCTGCCAAAGCCCAGGGTGACTGGCTGCAAAGGAGATTTTGTGCATTTGCCCTTTAAGATGACACCTGCGTCTCTGGAATACACTTGTCTCTCCCTGGCAAACAGAATCCCCATTGATTTTCACAGCCAGATGTTATGTGGGTGTCTCTTCCCCAACATTGGTGCTCTGGGCTGGGGAGCCCGGCTTGGGATTGAAACCCCACACTTCACAGGGGGAACCCCCACACTTGAGATATTCCTCTGGAATCTCAGCCACCCATTGGAGCAGGGGCAGCCCTTTTCTCATCTCTGCCCTTCCTACCAGTCTCAATATGGCTTCTTCTATAAATCTTTGGTTATAAGACTTCTCTTCAGCTAGTCTTCATTTGGTTATTCATGTTGCTTGCTCCATATTTTAGTTGTAATTCTATTTTGGTCCTGGGAAGAGTTAACATCCACCTATTCTACCACCATCTTGGATCTCTTCTATTACTTTTGTTTTTAATCACCAAGGATTATTTTTTGTGTGTTTTTTTTCCTCAATTACTATTTACATTCAATATTATTCTGTATTAGTTTCATATGTACAACAAAGTGATTAGAAAATCATGTACCAGTACTTTACAATGTACCCCCCCACGGGCCCCCCTACACATTTATCATGATATTATTTACTATACCAGAAGTCCAGTGCATGAAATTTGTGCACTGGGTCGGGGGGGGGGGAGATGATCCCCTCAGCCCAGCCTGTGCCTTCTCACAGTCCAAGAGCCCCGCATGATGGTAGGCCCCACCCACCCACCAGGGTGGGTAGATCACCCTGCAGAGGGAGACCTTGCCCACCCACTGGTCGGAGGCCTGGGCCTCCCTCTTTGGGGCAATTGGGAAGCTTCCCAATTGATCATCCCACCAGCCGCTGACCTGAGCCTCCCTCTGCAGGGCAATCACGGAGCAATGGCGGGGGGGCCTCCCAACCAATTGCATCGCACCCGCCTTGGCTCATCTGGCTCCAGTGGGTGTCATAGTGTGGTCGTCCAGACAGTCGTTCCGCTGTTCGGCTGTTTGGTCAATTTGTATATTACACTTTTATTATTATAGATTCCCCTACCTTTTGTGACAGTATGGATGGACCTAGTGGGTATTACGCTAAGTGAAATAAATCAGATAGAGAAAGACAAATGCCATATGATTTCAATTTATATGTGGAATCTAATGAACAAAATAAACCAAAAAAAAAAATAGAAACAAACTCATAGATACAGAGAACAGACTGATGATTGTCAGAGGGCAGGGGGCTGGGAAATGGATGAAAGGGGAAGGGATTAAGCAGTACAAATTGTTAGTTACAGAATAGTCACAGAATTAGAGAATTTCTTAATGAGTTCCCAGATGAGGAAAGGGTAGGTGAGGCACTCCTTGAATAACTTTCCCACAGACTCCACCCAAAGGTATCGCTGGGAAGATCTCCATTCTGTTGCATAATGCTAAATATTTTGGTGCAATTATTTTGTAAACCACAGTACCTTTTTTTGCTAATATTCTCTGTAGGGTTTCTACATTCTATTGTATAGGGTACTTGTTTATAGCACAGTTTCTCAACTAAAGGTTTTCTATCTTACTTAAGTGATTTCTTTTAAAGGTGGGAAAGTATCTCCTACTTTGCTAATTGCTCTCATTTATCAAGGCCAGCCTTAATCATGATGCCCTCATACAGATTCTCATTCAGCATTTCCCTGGGTGTGACAGGGATTGCCATCCTTCCTGAGTCTGGAAGCTGGAAATTTACAGGAGAAGAAAAGAAATTTTTTAAAGATTAATTCCATTATGAAAATATTGATTTCCAATGAAGAAAGGGAAAAAGAAAGAATGAAAGAAAAAAACAACAACAGAGAACCTTTCAGATCTGGCCCTTCTAGGAGGTTTGGCAGTCACATCATTTAGGAGAAGGAAGATCAGGGGATATAAAGCATGACCACTGATCTGGGGTAGTGTTAGGGGAAGAAATAGAATATTGGAAACTAACTATAATTATAAGAAATATTAATCATGCTATGTCAACCGTGATTGTTCTTTTCTGATTAGAGAAAGCATGCTTTCACCTCGCTGGGAGTTATATGCCCGGGGACATGGAAGCTAACATCAGAAAGCAGTCCATCCTCCTGTCCCGAGAACTGCCTACCATTATGGAAAGATTTACAACCTTGTGGCTGAAACAATATAGTCCCAGAGGCACCTGCTCTTTACAACCTTCAGCCCCTATTTCCTGTAATCTGGTCCCGGGGTTCTCAGAGGCGCCCACCTTCTGTGATACACCCACCCCCCACCCCAGCCTGCATGACTTGTAACGTGTAATGATCATCCCATGCCCACTTTCCTATACTGTATCTCTAATCCCTGCTTCCCCATGTAATCCTTGTCCTACCCAATATGAGCAGCTGGCTTATGGGGGGCTGCAGAGCAGATTTTTTGTGGATAACCTGCTGCTCTCCCATGCTGCCGGCAGGATTGGAATAAACACTCACATAAGATTCAACCCTGTCTCTGCCTAAGTGGCTCAAGTATTGACAGGCAGCACGGACACACTGGCTATCTAGTTTCAGTAGGAGAAGAATCCTGGTTTTCCTGATCAGCGTCCTCATCTTTCACAAGCATGGGAAGCACCACTGTCACTCCCTATTCTCAGAAAAGTTTATCAGCTGATTTGCCATGGTGTGTTGGCTTATCAGAATAATTTCTACATTAATAAACCAGGCCAGATGTCTCACCACTGGAAATAATAATTCGATTGTTCAATAGAGAATAGCTAATGATGGGCTACTACTAAGAGACATGTTGTGCAAGATTATTGAGATAGAAATGAGATGACAAAGGGAAAAAATTAATCAGAACTTATTTTCACATAAATAAGCCAAACCAGCTAGGGCTGGAGAACTTTACTTTGTTGCCTTTGTTAAACATTTGGATATAGCAACCTATGGAATAAAATGCAGAGTATACTAGTATTTCCAAATAATCATAGTGAAGAAAAAGGCATGTGTGTGTACACACACATAGACACACACACACACACACACACACACACACACACACACACACACAATGATCTATTCAGGAAAAGTAAGTATATTTTAAAAAATAAAACAGGGAAAATCACACTATATGGAAAGCATATTTTTTATGATGATAGAGAAGTAGAAAAGGAGAGAAAGAGAGAGAGAGAGAGAATGAGAGTGGGGGGAATATAGATTTGTTGTTCCACTTACTTATGCATTCATTGGTTGATTCTTGTATGTACCCTGAGTGAGGATCAAACCTGCAACCTTGGCCTATCAGGACAATGCTCTAACCAACCAACCTACCTACCTGGCCAGGGCCTATTTTACTCTTTTTGATGCAACTGTAAATGAGATTGTTTTCTTGATTTCTTGTCCTAATAGTTTGTTGTTAGTGTACAGAAACACAACTGATTTTGTGTATTGATTTTGTATCCTGCAACTTTACTAAATGTGTTTATTAGTTCTAACATTTTTGCTGGGGCCTTTAGAATTTTCTATATATAATAGCATCTCATTGCAAATAGAGACAATTTTCCTTTCTTTCTGATTTGGGTGCCTTTTATTTCTTTTTCTTTCCTAATTGTTCTAACTAGCATTGTGGTCGGTTAGACAGAGATGAGCAAAACAAGGATGATAGGCCAAGTACAGAAACTCACCATGCCAAGAAGTCCTGGGTGCCTAGCAAGGGGTAAAACTGGGAAAACAAGAACCTTACCCCGCAGGGCTATTAGGTCTGATCAAATAATTTAATCAATATCCCCTCCCCTGGAAACTGACCTTTAGACCACTACATAATGGACATTTCACTTGCATTCCACTTGCTAAGACCATTATCCTTCCCCTCCGGACCTTCCTAGAATCTGGACCAGAGAATTCTCCACCTAGAAAAAGCCGGCCTAGAGTCCTTTAAAATCTCTGACTCCCTGTCCCTGGGTGCTGGCACCATTTAGGAGCTCAGCACACCTGGTATCCAGATGACCTAATAAATTTATAGTCCCTTACCCTTTTTGGCCTCATGCATTCCTCCTTTGGTGACCCTAACATTTGGTGTGGAAACCCAGGAGGGTTCCACAGGGAAGGGGAGCCATCACCCTGGCTTCGGTCACCCCGAGTTTGCTACTCAGAGAGCAGTAGGCAGCAGCAGCTTGTCCTGGGCTTACCTCTGAATCCTACTCTAGTGACATGATCACTGACCTCAATTAATCCTCCCCTCTCTTATGGGCCCTCCCAAACCAGCCAGGGAGGACGCCAGATCAGGAACCTCTTCTCCATTGCTGACCCTTCATCCCACACCAGCCAATCTTCTCTAGGTGAGTGATGTTCAACAATTTCCCTCACCTAATCTTCTCTAGGTGAGTGATGTTCAACAATTTCCCTCACCTAAAGTCTTCTGCCCACACTCTCACTGACTTCTCAAAAGTCCTAGGGCTAGGCCAGAAGACTCCTCAGCTGATTGGCTTTGGGTCCTTCTGGATTGGGGACACCCAGTCCAGAGGGTCACCCCTCATTTTTTGTGGTGATTTGTTTAGCAGCGGGGACACCTGCCCTAAACAACCACCTTTGGATTTGTGGTCTGTCACTCACTCTTCTCTCATGGGCCACGCTATACTCCCTCTGCACACTCGTGGGAGAGATCATGCCCAAGCACCTCATTTTCTTTTGTAACACTGTTTGGCCAAGATATAAACTAAATAATAAGTCTCAGTGGCCTTAAAAGGGCCTTAAAAGGGCACTTTCAATTTTAGCACATTGCACAATTTAGATAATTGCTGTGAGCGCCATGGAAAATGGTCAGAGACTCCCTATGCCCAGACCTTTTTTTACCTTCAGTCCCAATCCTTTCTCTCAGTCCTGCTCTACCCATCGGATCCTTCTCCTTCACACAAAACATCATACCCCTCACATTTCTCATTCTGTATCTACTTTTGACCCAGAAGACCACCAACCTCCATCCTTTTATACACCCTCACCTGCAGTAGGTTCCCAAAACCCAGACTCTCCTAACTGGCAACCAACTTCTCCCCTAGCCTCTGAGAGTCCAAATTCTGAGAATGTGAGTTCCAAAACAGCCTTCTCCAACCTAACACTGGCTCTCGACACCTTCCTCAACAGCCACTTCTATTCCCGCACCCATTCTACCGCTGTGGGAGGTAGCAGGAACTGAGGGTATTGTCCGGATACACATCCCATTTTCCAGGTCTGACTTCACACAGATTAAGAGGCGTTTTGGGTCTTTCTCTACCAACCTGACCACCTTTACCAAGGAATTTGAATATCTGACCCAGTCCTATGGGCACGATATCTATGCCATTCTGTACTTCTCTCTAATGCCAGAGGGAAAGGAGGGTGTTTAGCTAATAGCTCAAGACCATGCCAATGCCCTCCATAGACACTCAGCAGCCAACCTGGTTGGCGCTGACACAGTCCCCCAAACTGACCCAAGATGGGACTACCAGGTTAATTCTCCAGGGTGCCAACTCTGTAGCCATATAATCACCTGGACTCAAAAAGGCTGCCCAGCCCTAGCTGGTTTGGGTAGAGCAATGGCCTGCAGACTGAAGGGTCCCGTGTTTGATTTTGGTCAAGGGCACATGCCCAGATTGCAGGATCAAATTCCAGTAGTGGGCGTGCAAGAGTCAGCCGGTCAATGATTCTCTCTCATCATTGATGTTTCTATCTCTCTCCCTCTCCCTTCCTCTCTGAAATAAAAAAGGCTGCCCATATGGTGGTCAACTATAACAAACAATAAAATTACTCAAGGCCCTGATGAATACCCAGCTCTCTTCCTCTCCTGCCTCATGGAGGCCTTACAGAAATTTACCACCTTAGACCCCACCTCCCCTTCTTCTGAACACCCATTATATAGCCCAATCAACCCCACCATACACCACAAACTTCAAAAAACAGACACAGATCCACAAACCCCTCAAAAAGACCTCTCAATCTGGTCTTTAAGGTCTTTAATAATAGAGAGGAGGAGACCCAAATCTAAAACCAAAAGCGAGATCAGGCCCTGACCGGTTTGGCTCAGTGGATAGAGCGTCGGCCTGCGGACTGAAAGGTCCCAGGTTCGATTCCGGTCAAGGGCATGTACCTTGGTTGCGGGCACATCTCCAGTAGGGGGTGTGCAGGAGGCGGCTGATCAATGTTTCTCTCTCATCGATGTTTCTAACTCTCTATCCCTCTCCCTTCCTCTCTGTAAGAAATCAATAAAATATATTTTTTTTAAAAAAAGCAAGATCAGGCCAAGGCTGAGGCCCAGAAGGAGGACTTCCAGCTCCTAGCCACTGCTCTCACAAACCCCAAATGAAGTATTGGTCCTCCAACTAACAGTAAGTCAGGGGCTAAGTTTCCTCTGGGCCTGTGCTTCAAATGCAAAAATAAAGGACACTGGGCCAAGTCCTGTCCAAACCTGAGACCCCCACCTGGGCCTGCCCAAGGTGCGGGAGGGAAAGCCACTGGAAATTAGACTGTAGTCTGACCCCTCCAGGTCAGATCTCAGTAAGCCCAGCAAGTCCGCCCTCTGGACCCGGTTTGGAGCTCCCAGACGTCCTGGGACTGGCCACCAAAGACTAAAGCTGCCCAGGCCCTGACAAGGCCCCACAGAATTACAGCACCAGGACAGAGCCTCAGGTAAGGATAGTGGTGGCAAGTAAGCCGATCTCCTTTTTAATCAACACTGGGGCCACTTATTCTGCCCTTTCTGAATTTTCTGGACCCTTGTCCACTCCTCAGTCTCTATTATAAGAGTTGATAGATTAGTCTCTCAGTCATTAGCCACCTCACCTCTACACTGCATCTTACAAGACACCCTTTTTATTCCCTCTTTTCTCGTTCTACCTCGGTGCCCAACTGGAGCTACCTAACACCCCTCATAAAACCCAGTTGTCCCGAACCACAGTCACCTACATAAGTTTCGCTCTCAACCCTACAAAGTAGAGCCATTACCTTAGACTCTCCTTTCTCTGGCTCGCTGGGTACTTTTGCCTCTGAGTTCCCAACTTTAGTCTTCTTACAAAGTCCCTCTATGACACGGGGAAGGGACCCCTCACTGAGCCTTTACATCCCAAAGACACATTCTCACTCCTTTTAATGATCTGAAAACTACTCTCACTTCCGCATCTTCTCACCCCCCTTTCCCAAAAAATAACTTTCTTTACTGCAAAACTGCAAATGCTTGCTTAACATTCCTGCTACTATCAGAAGCTGAACAGATTATCACTCAAACCTTAGCATGTTATCTCTAAGGAAAAATGTGGCAGTTTTAACCCTACCAGACCTCTGTACCGATTTTTCAGTAATTTCCGAATCTGCTGCTATACCGCTGTACCTAATTTTCAGTACTTTGCCTAATACGTGAAAAAAATACGTCACAAGCTAAAAATAACCAACCAATCGTGGTCAAACCTCATGGTTAGCCATTGCAAATGTCTGCCCCCATGTGTTTGAATTGACTTTGTGTGGTATAGGGGACAGTTATGTTCGGGCCTCAGGTCTGGTAGACCTAAAACCAAGTGGCTGGCAGTGTGGAAACTCCAGTCCTTGCACAGGCTGCAGGGACTGTTCCTTTCCCTCCTCTGACTCTTCTCCAGCCTCATAGAGCTATACATAATTTCCCAAAGTCTTTGGTAACTTAGAGCATTGCTGGGTTAAATAATAAACATCTAAATATTATAAAATACTGAAACATTGATTGTTAGACAAGTTTTAAATCCGCCTACTCTTAGCTTTTATTACAGAAGTTCTCCTGTACTTTGTTGAAGGTACATTTTCTTGAAACTAAGAGTGTGTTTAAAATGTGTTCATAAATATCAATCTAAGAAAGGCTGGTTGTTTACAATTGGCTAAAGCTGGTGATTTGTGAATGGGCAGAAAAGTTTGTGAAAGTTGTAGAAAAGTTTGTCCAGTGAGTTAGGACCTGATCACCCCTGGCGTCCAAAGGGACCTCTTCTCTCCTAGTAAGCTAAAGCAGCCTCGCCGAGACTCTCTACTGTTGCTTATGGCCTTAAGTTGAGGCCTAGACTTTCTTTATTTCCACTGCTCATTCCCAGTCCTTGACACCATCATTGAAAGCCTCAACAGGTCTTCCTGCTTGATATTTAGGAACTTCTCTCCCCTTTTCTAGCCTTCTTAAGAGTCATACACTGCAAAGGACACCAAGTCAGGAATGACCAAAGCAGGGAAATAACAAAGCAGACCAGGAAGCCAAGGCAGTGGCTCAGAGGAAGCCTCCATGTCCCCAGCTCTTGGCTATACCCATATAATGCCCCTAGACCCATATAATGCTCCAGAGAAACTTCAGTTCCTACTAGCTCTTGGGGCCACTCAGGAAGATCCATGGTTAAAATTTCAGGGAGCTGCAACCTTCATCACCCCTTGCCATCTTCAGACACCAGGGGACTGCAGAGGGGTGGGGGTGGGGGGGGCATTATTCTGCCTGCCTCGGAGGAGGGCAGCACTGCCCGGATAGAGAAAGGCACAAATGGCATTTAGGCAAGCTGGCCCTGGATGCAGCCGCCTGGGTTGACGTTCACCACCTCCCAGGCAAGAGACCGTGGGCACGTCACTTCACTTTTCGGAACCTGAGTCTTCTTGTTCCTAAAATGAGCGACAACGGACCCTGGCCGGGAGCCTCAGATGATTGGAGCGTCGTCCTGTTGCAGAACTCAGGAAAAACATATCCTCAGGTGAGGATTTAAATTTTTTTTAATAAAATAGGAGACGTTGGCTTACCTCTAAGCAATGGAATACTGTTCAACAATGAAAAGGAATGGACTGTCGAGACCCACAGCGAACTGGATGAACCTCAAGTTATCACGAGTGAATGAAACGAGGCCCAAAAGGTATATACTGCGTGATCTTGTTGCTAGAACATTCTAGAAAGTGCAAATCAGGGGTCACTTGCAGACAGAAGGAGCCAGGGAAGGCAGGAGGGAGGGATTGTGAGGGGGCACAGGGAACTTTTGGTTTTTGATTGAGTTGATTTGTGTTGATATATGTCTGTATCAAACATCAAAACATCAACTTATACATATTTTTATGTTACATGCAATAAACCTTAACATTTCAAGAAAAATGATCTTAAATAATGTTACATGCAGTAAACATTAATATCACAAGAAAAATGATTCTAAATATGATGTTACATGCAATAAACACCAATTATTCAAGAAAAATGATCTTACATATATTACATGTAATAAATATTAATATCTCAAGAATAAAAGGATTTTAAGTATAATAATATTACCAAAATTGTACTAACATAGTATGATATCACAAAAGTTGTAGGAAATATTAAAAATCTGCAAATAATAGGATTACTTCTATTATATTTGAGAATAATAAAAAAAATATTTCAGGGAAAGTTATATCCTTCCCTAGGGACAGGCCCACAAGATCTTAGAAGTTAATCACAATTCCTTACATATAGGATACAGACCACTCCCAAAACACCTTATCACATGTCTTAGCCTAGCCTCCCTACTGTAAGATTTTACCAAAACCTGTTCTACTTGTGACTCAGTATCCCCCCAAGGATAAATTAGACCTCTTTCTTTCCCCACTCATCAGGCAAGGGGCCAAAACCCTTGACAAGACTGGCAAATTGACTTCACTCATATGCCCCCTATTAAAAGAACCAAATATATCTTAACCCTCGTAGATACCTTCTCAGGCTGAGTGAAGCCTTCCCCACTACCTCTGAAAAGTCTTCCAAGGCCACACAAGCTTTCATTCAGCATGTCATCCCCAGATTCAGTCCTAAAACCTGTTCTAGGACCTCATTACAATCAGATAAAGGACCTGCTTTCATATCTCAAATAACTCAGCAGGCCTCCTCCCCTCTGAACATCGAGTGGAACTTACACACCCCCTACCAGCCTCCATCTTCAGGCAAGGTAGAAAAAGCAAATTCCTTAAGTCTCACCTAACTAAAATAACCCTTGAAATCAAAGACCCTTGGACTATTCTCCTACCTCTCAACCTGCCTTTCCCTCTCCTCTTCAGTGTATACACCATCCCTATGTCAATCAACAGATGGAATCAGGCAAAAATCACTCTGACTTATAAAAAGGCAAAGGGAACTACATTTCTTGAAAAGGCAGACACCCTTGTAGGTAATTATCCTACAGCCCAGGCAAATCAAGCCTCCCTTCTTTTCTGTATTTATATTCTCTTACTAAGGTAGCTCCTTCCTCCCTCCTGGTCACAGGTCCTATCACTCTACACACCCCACTAACTGCACAAGCCCCTTTATGCTTTACAAGGTCACAGTCCATTTGTGGACTCCTTGTCACCCTGCACATCTCACTCCCTTTGGAGTAGTCCGCAGAATGGTGTAGAGGTCGGGGCAGACTGAGCGGGTATTAGTAACTGAGTTGTGTGGTTCTGGGGTGGGGGCTTCCCATGAGCCTAATCGGTGCCTTTCCCCCTGTGGAAGATTCGCTGGCCCCACTCTCCCGATTCCTGGCAGCCCCACCCTGCTGAGGTTGTGTTCTCCAAGAGGTCCAGGCAGAATCTGGGACAGACTCAATTGTGTGGCTCCAGGAGAGGGGCCATTTTTCCCTCTCATGCCTGACCAGTACAGCCTGGTCAATTTGGGCCTGATAAACTCTGCTGGCCTCCCCCTGACCATTCCCTGAGACTCCCCTCACCACAAAGACCTACGGGTACCTGGGGGGTGGGAGTTAGCCTTGGTATAAATACTCAGAGACTTTTGCTGAGTGCCCTCAGACCCAACACTGGAACCAAGTTGGAATCTGTATTAATCTGATAAACACCACTCGCCACTACCTGGTCACTCACTGAGAACCTACCTCATGCAGCTGACGTCCCACCAGAGGCTCCTTTAGTGACTGAACCTGAAAGCCCACTGGCAGGTGGAGGAGGATCTCAGGGTGGCTTAGGTCTTTTGCCGACCTGGCCCTCGGTTCAGTGCTAGAGGAAGCAGGCCTTGGTGCACAGTTGACCATTCCCATGCAAACTCAGGCCCAGCAGAGGCTGCCACAAACTGTATCTATCGCTTTGTAGCTCCAAATGGTTGCCCAGGGCCAGTCACAGGCAGTGTCTGATATTGACATTTACCAGAGTCCCTCCCCAAAGGCCCCAGAACTAATACCATCAGTGGCCAGCTTCAGACATCAGAGCAGGATCCAATTAGCTCCACAAGGGACACATAAACAGGGAGATCCCTGCAGGCAGCAGACCCTGCTGAGATGAATCCTGCTTCAAGGGGTCGGCAACCACACAGCAGCTCCTACATTGTGGTCAGAGGTTGATCCTCACGATCACCCAGCCTGAGGGTGGGCCCCCCCACACAGATGGGCCAACAGCAAACAAAATTCAATTCCAACGGGAGGGATCACATAACCCACACAAGGGATGCTCCGGAGCACTCCGTCAGGATAATCAAAGAGCCTGTGACACTGGGTACCACAGGACACCTACTACATAAGGCCACACTACAAAGACCGAGATATAACATACTTTGTTTGTAGAGAGGCAACCAAAATGGGGAGATAAGGAAACATGCCCCAAATGAAAGAACAGGAGAAATATCAAAAAAAAAAAAAAAAAGAACTAAATGAAATGGAAGCAAGCAATCTACCAGACTGGAAGTTCAAAAAAATGGAACTAGATTACTTTCTTACACCACACACAAGAATCAACTCAAAATGGATTAAAGACCTAAATGCAAGACTTGAAACCATAAAACTCTTAGAAGAAAACGGAGGCAGTAAACTCCCAGACCTTTCTCTTAGTAATATTTTTTTCTGATATATCTCCTCCGGCAAGGGAAACAAAAGATACTTCACTGGATGGGAGAACATGTTCGCCACTGATACGTCTGATAAGGGGTTAATACCCAAAACTTATGAAGCACTCATACAACCGAACACCAAAAAAAAATCCTATTTAGCCGAAACCGGTTTGGCTCAGTGGATGGAGCGTCGGCCTGCGGACTGAAGGGTCCCGGGTTCGATTCCGGTCAAGGGCATGTACCTGGGTTGCGGGCACGTCCCCAGTGGGGGATGTGCAGGAGGCAGCTGATCGATGTTTCTCTCTCATCGATGTTTCTAACTCTCTATCCCTCTCCCTTCCTCTCTGTAAAAAATCAATAAAATCTATTTTTTTAAAAAAAGAATATTAACATTTAAAAAAAATCCTATTTAAAAAAATGGGCAAAGGACCTAAAGGGACACTTCTCCAAAGGCGACATACAGATGGCCAATAGACATATAAAAAGACGTTCAATGATACTAATCATCAGAGAAATACAAATTAAAACCACAATGAGATACCACCTCACACCTGTCAGAATGGCTATCATCAATAAAACAACAAATAACTACTGTTGGTGAGGATGTGGATTGGTACACCTGGAAAACAGTATGGAGGTTTCTCAAAAAATTAAAAATGGAACTGCCTTATGACCCAGTGATTCCGTCCCTGGTTATATAGCCGAAGAAACCGAAAACACTCATTCAAAAGAATACATGCAACACTGTGTTATTGCGGTGTTATTTACAATAGCCTAGCTATGGAAGCAACCCAAGTGCCCAAAAATAGATGAGTGAATTAAAAAAAGCAGAGGTACATATATACAATGGAATATTACCGGCCATAAAAAAGAATAAAACCTTACCATTTGAGGCAGCATGAATGGACAGCAGTGATGGCGAACCTTTTGAGCTCCGCGTGTCAGCATTTTGAAAAACCCTCACTTAACTCTGGTGCCGTGTCACATATAGAGATTTTTTTATCTTTGCAACCATAGTAACACAAAGACTTACATTTTTGATATTTATTTTATATATTTAAATGCCATTTAACAAAGAAAAATCAACCAAAAAAATGAGTTCGCGTGTCACCTCTGGCACGCGTGTCATGGGTTCGCCATCACTGAGAGAGTAGTATGCTGAGTGAAATAAGTCAGTCAGAAAAAGACAAATACCATATGATTTCACTTATATGTGGAATCTAACGAACAGTATAAATGAGCAAACAGACCCATAGATACAGAGAACAGCCTGATGGTTGCTCGCCAGCTGGGAGAGGGGTTGGAGGACTGGGTGAAAGGGTGAAGGGATTGAGAAGTACACATTGGTAGTTACAAAATAGCCATGGGGATATAAAGTGCATCATAGGAAATATAGTTAATAATATTGTAAATTACTATGTATGGTACCAGGTCGGTACTGGAAATATCAGGGGGAACACTTTTCAAAGTACATTATTGCCTAATCACTATGCTGTATACCTGGAACTAATGCAAAATAATATTTAATGTCAACATTAAACACAACTACATTTTTTTTAAACAATAAATGAAGCAGAAAAAGCCTATTGGCGGCATTTTTTGAAGTACTCGGGCGCCATCTACTGTGCAAATGATGTAAGCACAATGAAAGACTTTTCCATATCTGCATCAAGAAGGTGTGCAGATTTTGCCCTCTCTCTTATAAATTTCTTTCTTCTCTATTTATGGTTTTCCCGACTTCTTTGGGGGATTTCAATTTTATTTCAATGCATCAGTTTACCTTCCTTCTATCTTCCTTTCTTTCTCACTCTCTGTGTCCCTCCATCCTTCCTTTTCCTCCCTTCCTTCCACCCTTCTTCTTGTAACACTCAGTCCTGTGGTGCTACTATTGCACACCTTGGCTTAGTGTTCACCACGTGATGTGAACTGATTTCCATGGACCGTGGGTCTCTGGCAATAAACCGGCGGGTGAGGGGGGGGGAGGAAGCACCCATGACTTTGAAGATAGTCTCGGGCACATGTCCCTTTCTGAGTTTCCCTCCAATGTGTCTTTCAACTTTTCCATGTAGGCATCAGGTTGCTTTTCTTTATTTTGTTTACAATTACCAGTTTGGATTCTTTTGA